GCTGGAATCGAGTTGGTGAGGCGTGCCGCGAATCTCATTACAAATGCTGCAGCTGTGTCAAACTAAAAACGACGCGAGACGATGTGATTTATAAGACGTTAGCGAGTATATTGTATAGAAAGTGCCTTTTATTGTAGAATAGGAGTATTGCGACATTATTGTTCATAGTATTTCCGTGCGGTGTCGACAATCATAGTGCCACATATGGTGGATAGCTGACCGCAGCTTTCCGTAAACGCATTCCATCAGTCATGTCTACATTCCGTCCGGCATTCCGCCACGTGCCGTAAACCCATTCCGTCCATTCCGTGCATGCCCTTTTGGGCTGAATCGTATGCTATTTTTGACAAATAAACGCAGTGCAAAGTTTTATTTTATGGTCTGGTTTGGAGATGTTGCGTTGTGGTGATATCAGCATCACTCAAATGCGTACATGATTATGGTTCAGCAACGTTATGATAAAACGGGGTAATACGAAACGAGACAATTATATGGATTAAATTTTTACTTATCTTATTCGAAAATGTTTGCCGCGTTTCTGCTGAACAGCCGATTTGAAGGTCACTTTGGTCCTTCAGAGGATGTAGCGTTTTTCCACATCTGCTGATCGGAAGGCAGCGTATCACACGAATTCGAGAAATATGAATGGTAAAACTAGGTCACCCTCCCGCGCCTACCGGCGCTAATTGTAATCGTCGTTTGAACATCTATATAGAAATCCCTGCCCGTCCCGTCCAAAATCCCGTCCATAATGCCCGCTTTCTCTCTCTCTCTCTCTCTCTCTCTCTCTCTCTCTCTCTCTCTCTCTCTCTCTCTCTCTCTCTCTCTCTCTCTCTCTCTCTCTCTCTCTCTCTCTCTCTCTCTCTCTCTCTCTCTCTCTCTCTCTCTCTCTCTCTCTCTCTCTCTCTCTCTCTCTCTCTCTCTCTCTCTCTCTCTCTCTCTCTCTCTCTCTCTCTCTCTCTCTCTCTCTCTCTCTCTCTCTCTCTCTCTCTCTCTCTCTCTCTCTCTCTCTCTCTCTCTCTCTCTCTCTCTCTCTCTCTCTCTCTCTCTCTCTCTCTCTCTCTCTCTCTCTCTCTCTCTCTCTCTCTCTCTCTCTCTCTCTCTCTCTCTCTCTCTCTCCTCTCTCTCTCTCTCTCTCTCTCTCTCTCTCTCTCTCTCTCTCTCTCTCTCTCTCTCTCTCTCTCTCTCTCTCTCTCTCTCTCTCTCTCTCTCTCTCTCTCTCTCTCTCTCTCTCTCTCTCTCTCTCTCTCTCTCTCTCTCTCTCTCTCTCTCTCTCTCTCTCTCTCTCTCTCTCTCTCTCTCTCTCTCTCTCTCTCTCTCTCTCTCTCTCTCTCTCTCTCTCTCTCTCTCTCTCTCTCTCTCTCTCTCTCTCTCTCTCTCTCTCTCTCTCTCTCTCTCTCTCTCTCTCTCTCTCTCTCTCTCTCTCTCTCTCTCTCTCTCTCTCTCTCTCTCTCTCTCTCTCTCTCTCTCTCTCTCTCTCTCTCTCTCTCTCTCTCTCTCTCTCTCTCTCTCTCTCTCTCTCACTTTTCCTTTTCCTTTTCCTTTCCCTTTCTCACTCCCTCCCTGCCTCCATCCCTCTTCCCTCCCTCCTCTCCGCTCTCTGACTTTGTCGATCACTGATCCAATCGTATGCTTACTTACCTCTCACCATCCGTCTCTCTCCCTCCTCTCCCCGTCTCCTTCATCGCACTTCTTCTCTCCCCCCTCCCCTCCCTCCCTCCCTCGATTTCCTCCCCTTCCCTCCACTCCCTCCCTTCCCCTCCTCTCCCCTCTACTCCAATCCCCTCTTGGTACTGAAAAAAGTACTGGCTAGTGGCCTCTTCCCCGCCCGCAAGACCTAGGTCACCTTCCCGCGCCTACCGGCGCTAATCGTCGTTTGAACTATTTATATACACTGTGGGTTGAACATCTACCTATATAGAAATCCCTGCCCGTCCTAGGTCACCCTCCCACGCCTACCGGCGCTAATCGTCGTTTGAACATCTATATAGAAATTCCTGCCCGTCCCGTCCATAATGCCCGCTTTTCTCTCTCTCTCTCTCTCTCTCTCTCTCTCTCTCTCTCTCTCTCTCTCTCTCTCTCTCTCTCTCTCTCTCTCTCTCTCTCTCTCTCTCTCTCTCTCTCTCTCTCTCTCTCTCTCTCTCTCTCTCTCTCTCTCTCTCTCTCTCTCTCTCTTTTCCTTTCCCTTTCTGACTCCCTCTCTGCCTCCATCCCTCTTCCCTCCCTCCTGTCCGCTCTCTGACTTTGTCGATCACTGATCCAATCGTATGCTTACTTACCCCTCCCCATCCGTCTCTCTCCCTCCTCTCCCCGTCTCCTTCATCGCACTTCTTCGCTCCCCCCGGCCCCCTCCCTCCCTCCCTCGATTTCCTCCCCTTCCCTCCACTCCCTCCCTTCCCCTCCTCTCCCCTCTACTCCAATCCCCTCTTGGTACTGAAACAAGTACTGGCTAGTGGCTTCTTCCCCGCCCGCGCCGCAGATACATATACGTTTTTATGTCCCAGTTCAAGACGCTATACGTATATTGGTACGCTCGTAATACTAAACATGATCGCTATTTTTTCAGTATTTTGTGGAATTCTGTAACTAACCTATCCCAAATCTGAGTGACTCGCCCCGACCCTCCCCCGCCTTCCTCCCTCTGCACCCCCCCCCTCTCCCCGGGACCCACCACTCACGATCGGTAATGTTTTCAGTGCTAAAGATATAATTATGGCTGCTCTGTTTCCGTCTCCGTCTTCCCTCTCTGCCTTTGTCTCTGTATCTGTCTCGTCTCGGATTCCATCCCCATCTCCGTCCCAGTTCCCGTCCCAGCTCCCATTCCCGCTCCCGCTCTCTTTCTCCGTCCCCGTCTTCATCCCCCTCCCGCTGACCGCATCATCTCCGTCTCCGCCTCTGTCTCCGTCTCGTCTCTGTCTCTGTCTCTGTCTCTGTATCTGTCTGGTCTCCGATTCCGTCGCCGTCTGCCGTCCCCGTTCCCGCGCTCCCGCTCCCGCTCTCTTTGTCTCCGTCTCCGTCCCCGCTCCTGCTGGCCGCTACATCTCCGTCTCCGTCTTCGTCTCCGTCCTGTCCCCGTGCCCTTCCCCGTCCCCACTAAACATAATCGATAATCTTGTCAGTATTTTGTGGAATTCTGTAACCAACCTATCCCAAATCTGGGTACCTCCCCCCCCCCCCCCCCGCCCGCCACTCAGGATCGGTAATGTAGTTATTCGTAGCGGCCGAGTGCTGCAACTAAGCTGTAAGTGCATTTTAAAAACGTCTTTCGGCTCCATCCTCTGTACTTGTTTTCTCACCGACTCAATCATTTGCACACTTGCCCTTCCTTCTCTCCCTCCATCATTTCTTTACCCCCCCCCCCCCCTTCCCATGTCTGTATCATGCCGCATTCCCGCTGTCCGGCAGCGGCCGCTCTGACGGCACCGCAGTTACCGCACCAACCCCTCCGCCCGCTCGCCCCACACTGCGCCGCCGCCGGCCCGTGACTGCGGCCGGTCGGTCACGTGGGGACCGCAGCGACCTCTACGGGGTCGCGACCCTAGCGGCCGGGTACTGCAGCTAAAGATGTAAGTACGTTTTAAAAACATCCCGAGCTGGAATCGAACCAGCGACCCACACTACAGAAGTCCACCACTCTACCAGCTGAGCCATCAAGGACACACGCCTCACAACTCTGAATAAGCCTAGGTACCCTGCACGGGTTGATGACATGGTCTGGTGCGTAATGCGGCGTTTTACGGCAAAGTGGTTGGGAGCAAACTTGGTTTTAAATGAAGGTTATACGCCATGTTTCTTGACCAAATTTTCAGAACAAGGGGGCAAAAGCAAGACAGTACGCTGTAAGTGGTTGTCCAGCGGCGACATGCGCGTTTTATTATCGGCGATCGCCGGCCGTATGAGCTGACGTCACGCAGACAGTCAGCGCCATCTCTGGAGCGTCTGGCGACATAGTCGAGGGGCCGAGTTTTGCCATTTGGGGGGTGCCAGTGCGATTGAAAATGTGCCTATACGCTAGCCACGGCCGGGAGCTGTCGATTGGTGTTTGAATCGTGTCTGTAGGTAGTGTGTGTCGACCGTGAGAGGGATCTGACTGAAACGCTTCACGTATTATTTATTGTCGACGATCGATTGGCAAATTCGAGCACTCATGAAGGGCAAGTCGATGACAAGCGGGTTGGACGCGTGTCGCTCGGCCATTGGGTCAGCCTGGAGGTAAGGGCAAAATCAGCATACGCTGAGTTGATCTATCCACTTATATTTCGCTGATGAAACGGACTAGAGCAAGTCGACGTCGCGCTCAGAAAGGCTTGTTGCTTTTTTTGTTGGGTTAGGCCCTTTCGATCCGAAGGGACCATTTCAGAGCCGGAAGGATGGTAGGAATGAGGGGGAGACATTGGTCTGGACAGGCACCCTAGTGAGTCACCGGGGCTGAGCCCGTCCAGAAGACAGGCCACCCAGCCCGGCTAAGGGGTGCGCTCCCTCGGGAGCAGCGGTGCCACTCCAAGGGAGCAGCCCGCATGAGATAAAGTTGCCTGTCCAGCCCGGAGGGGGTTGCGGCGTAGAGGAGAAGGATTTCAGTATCCTGAGGATAGAAGCACGGAACGGTCGTCAGAAAGTTTGTTTGTTTGTTTGTTGGGTTAGGCCCTTTCGGTATGACGAGACCATTTCAGGGCCGGAAGGATGATAGGAATTAGGGGGAGACGTTGGTCTGGGCAGACACCCTAGAGAGTCGCCGGGGTGAGCCCGTCCGAAAGGACAGGCCGACCAGCCCCCAAACACTCTCTGCACCCGGCTACAGGGTGCGCTCCCTCGGGAGCAGCGGTGCCGCTCCAAGGGAGCAGCCCGCATGAGACAAAGGTGCCTGTCCAGCCCGGAGTGGGGGTTGCGGCGTGGAGGAGAAGGATTTCTGTATCCTGAGAATGAAAGCGATGGAACGGAGGTCAGAAAGGCAACCGCACTCACAGTCACATTCTTTCCGTTCATGCCGAAATAAAGCTCGGTTGACAAGATGAACTCGTGTATTGTGTTACGTCTGTGCATCACGTATGAATGGAGAGCTATGAGCGAGGGTAGCAGGCGCACACTGCTTCAAGTCACGTGTACAAAACCAAAAATTGTTAACACAGCTCCCGCAGCCGTCACGAGCATACGGGCTGGCGAAAGGGACCCCACTGTCCTCTGCCGACGGACCTTGGAGACTGAAGTACCGGGGGTGGCCGCTCAGCGGCGCCTCCGGTCCCGATCCCGACGAACCCTGCGACATCACACGCAAAAATCAATGTCAGAGCCTTCTGGAAAATCAGGCTACGATAGGAAGTCAACGTTCAAAATCTAGAAACGCAATTTTGACCAGTGCTGAATGAGCGGGTGCTGAGAAGAAATGGAAACGAATAAAATGCAATCCTACTTATTTCAATTCTGGAAAATATATGAAACACATGAGAACTGCGGTAGAGTTCTAAGTCATACTTAATTTTAGTTTCATCGAGTTCCCTAATGTGTGCAACACTGATGCAGGCGAGTTTAGTTGGGGTTTAAATTGCCGTGCGCAGAGAAATTAACAGTTTTATTTGTTTCGACACTTACTTTTTCGGTCCTTTGACGAACGCCCAGTCGACACTAATGGTCTGGCCGAGAATATCCGTGCCATTCAGGGCCTCAATGGCAGACTGGGCCTCCTTGAAAGTCTCGTATTCGACGAGCGTGTAACCCTGGCAATCAAACACGATGCGTAGTTAGCACAAATAAAACAGTGGCACCAAATAAGCAAAAATTGGCAAACAGTACGTAAGCCAGCATATCAGCGAAAACGTATCAGCGAGCAAAACCCTGTTGGATAACTGTCCACGATCGATCATACCTTTAAGAAACCAGTACGCCGGTCCATGTTGAGGTGAATGTTCTTGATGGAGCCAAAGTCGGCGAACTTGTCATGGATGTCGTCCTCCTGAGCCTCCTCGTGGACACCGGTCACAAACAGGATCCAGCCCTCCACCGCTGCAAACAGCAGCACAGCGCTCACTGGACTGGCATCTTCTGGAGGGGATGAATGATCTAGGTACCACAAATTGTTTCATTCAAATTTTGTTCAAAGTTTGCCTGTCATCAAATCGCACTAAATCGCACTACCATGATTCAGTCAGTCACGAACCATCATAAGGAACAACGACCAACATCACTTCTTCACACCACATCCTCAAGACATCAATACATGACACCCAAATTAGTGCATGCCTACGCCTTTCCTCAGCCGACTAGGTGGACTAGATAACAGTCTGACCACAACGGCCACTCACAGCGGCACGGCCCCGGCTCGCCGTCGTTGTCTCCTTCGACACCCTCGTAGTCGCGGTGGCGCGTGTCGTTCCGAGCCGCCCGCTCGCCGTCAAAGCCGCGCCCCTTCCGCTTCCGCGCCTTTTCCTTCAGCTTCACAATACCCTCTGTGAACAGGTTGGAGAGAGGGAATGACCCATACCCTCTGTTAAAAGGATGGCATAAGGACAGCAGTACATCAAATGACAGTAAACAGCAGTTAAGGTTAGCGAGTACAGGGCGACATTCTCTCCTGTTCATTGGCAGATCCAGAATGGTGGTTAGGGGTCCTGTGGGGAGCATACCCCTCAAAAGGACTCTGAACAATCAAAGAATTCATGACATGACTGTTCATATTACATTAGTCATAAGCTGCATCTGAATTAATGAACACTGAAATAATAATTAGTTATCAAGCATAACATAATTCTTATTCAAGAAAATTATATGAAACGCCTTGTGTAATGTGTAGGTCAAATAATCCACTTACTCTAATGCATGCAAACTCTTTATTATAGCCTGGCATCCCCAAGAAACAATTGGGAAGTGCAACTGCCATTGATGCAAGAGCCTTCATATTTACCTCCAATTTATCTCAGAACATTTTTTTTCACAGCTTTCACAGATTTTATGGATTTTCTCCAAACTATGCAATTGAAGGGCAAACACATGTTTAAAGTTCAGGGGCCCGGGAACGATTTTCAAGTTGGGGGGGCGAGCCTAAAATGCCTTACATGATGCATATGAATTTGAAACAGTGGCGTAGCTAGGGGTCTAGGGGGACACGTGCCCCCCCCCCCCATCGGGATAAAAGGGACCCTCGAGTCCGAGGGGCCCTGCGGCGCCATTTGACCGCTGAGGGTTAACGATGGCCATATTTCTACTCAGAAGGGCCCCATGGGGCTCGTTAGAGCACTTCATGGGCCCTAAATAGCTACACTAAGATCTCCATAAGGGCCCCACGCTGGCTTCTGAGGGCCTGTTGCGGCTTTTAAAGGTAGTGTGCCACCTTTGAAAGATTTCCCATTTTATTTTTCCTAGGATAAGAAGCTTCTGTTTTTACCTAATATCGTAAAAAAAATCAAAAATGGGCCTGGAATAGTGCCTTTTTCGCCTAAAAGTTTTTCGGTTTTTAGATATGTATAACAACTGTAGTGGGCTCACCTGCAAACAGGCGTCGGGCAACAATCGCGAATGCGGCGCACTTGTGACAATAAGCAAAGGTCATTATAGTGTTACGACCATACGACGTACGGGAATGAGTTATCAGCTGTCTAATCGTAGACAACACATTGTCGAGCCTTAAACTGTAAGCCCGTATTGGTATTGTTTCTTGTATTTGGCTGTCAAACATTATTTATGGTTTGAAATATGATTTTATGTAAAATAATTGATATGAAAAAGCCGTCTTATAAGTTATGACCCCATTTCACAACACGCAAGTGGCAGAAATGACAATGATCAGCTGACGCATTTTTCTTGGCCGAAGTCAGAGCGCGCGGCCCGACGCACCACGCGTATTTGGAAATTCCGACCTCGACGAGCATCAGAAGCCACCTAACAGGCGTGTTCGAAACCGCAGGAGATGATGATGAACGGGTTTATCGAAACTTGATTGGATGAGCATATCGGTAATAGCGATTTCAGTGTGTGCATTTATTGTTCATAGTGGTGTGAAATGTGGTTGGGGTACGACCGACAACCCGTCGGGGCGAATTTCGCACTGGGGTACTCAAAATTTGAAGAATTTAAGACGTTTCCATGAGTTTTGAAGGTATGGATAAGTTCTAAAAATCCGGTTCTCCTTATCTGGGCCATTAACTCCATACGGTCCAAGAAAGCTGGCACACTACCTTTAAGGGCACCTCGGTGGTCTCCAAAGGCCCGTTACTGGCCTCTGAGAGGTCTTACCGGCCTATGACGGGCCAGTTCTAGGGGCATTTCCCGCCTGTGCGCCGGCCCTCGTCGGCGCTTATGAGGGCCCACACCGGTGTCTCTGAGGGTTTCACACCCCCAACTCCGAGTGCCTACACCAGTGCCTATTAAAGCCCTATATTGGCGGCTCTGAGGACCCAACCAACACCGGCGCATCTAAATGCCACCCACTGGTGACTTTTGAGGGCCCCACACCGGTGACTCTGAGGGCCCCACCGGCGTCTGACAGTACCATGCCGGTCCTAAGGAACCCACAGGACTTCTTCTGCTGGCCTAAGGACCCCTTGCCGGTCACTGAGACCCCCTGCCGGCTTGTAGAGAGTTTGCGTCAGCAGCTCTAAAGGCCCCACACCCGTCTGTAACGGCTCCACACCAGCGTCTATGAGGGCCCACAGCAGCGCCTGTAAGGACCCTCATCGGCGCCTCTGAGAGAACCACACTAGCACCTCTGAGCGCCCACACCGGCACCTGCATGGCGGCCCCACACCGGTGCCTCTAAAGGCCCCTTACCGGCGGCTCTGAGGGCCCTACGCCGGTGATTCTGAGAGTGCTACCGATAACCGAAGGCACCACACAAGCCCTTAGTGTCGCTGAGCTTTATAATCCCATACCGGCCCTCCGAGGGCGCCACGTCAGTGCATTCATTGCCCCACACGCCTCCATCACACCGGAGCGGGTAAATTGTGTTATACCTATAGCCACGATTTTACCACCGTTGTACGTTATGTATTTCTCAAAGTTGTCTCAAGCTGGTGCAGTATAAAATCTGGCCTGCCAAACTTATGGCCAAGGTCAGGCCCAAATCAAAGCGGGATGACAATAGCAGATGTTGTCAAATCGATACTGTATCAGCAGAAACCATTCAGATGGCAAGGAAAATGCCGTGTGTTGATGTGTAGATGTATAAAGGAAACAAGAAGGAAAGAAGTCCGGGAAAGGGAGGAAAGATCTTTTCTCGCTGCCTCAATGTTGAGGGGGCGCCGCCCCCTCGGCTCCCAAGTTGGGGGGGGCAAGCGCCCCCGCTGCCCCCCCCTGTTCCCGGGTCTATGTTAAAGTTCAACTTCAACTCCATTCTACTTAGGTTTGCTAGATTATAATTTGCATTGGCACATCCAACAGAGTGGTAGCCAAAGGCATTAGCCAGTGAAAGCCTGAAAAGGCATCCAGTTTTTATATTCCAAAACTTCTTGTTATCAACTTCCTTAAACCAGACTATACAATTCAATGCTATCTTTAATTTTCCTTATCACATTCAGAATATTATTATCTAAGTGAGGAGAATTGTAAGTCTTCTTAAGTTACAGATGCTGTTCAAGGGCACATGAACCACTGTTAAAGGGAATAGTCACTTTTCCAAAAAAAGCAATGGATTTATGATTTTTTTCTGCTCAAAATGATCAGGAAAGAACATAGAACCTGCTTTTAAAAGAAATCATTTTCTATATTTTAATGTAGGAATGGTATATTGCGCGTAATATTGCTTGATGCGGAAGCATTATTTATTACACATTGACCAATCATATTGCGTAGAACAAACCCATTGGCTGTAAGCAGCATGCTGATTGGATGATGATGACATGGCTGCATTCCTCAGCAAGGCATGCATTCCTCTGCAACTAGCAAGGCACTCTTCTGAACGAGAAATGGAATATCTTAGTCTAGCTAGGGTGATCGTTGGGCCATAAAAGCTTCTGATATGTGCTAGTCTCACCTCAAGCTACAAAACTGCTATTCTAGTTCGAAACCCCATGTTAAAAGAGAACTATTTCCTTTAAGCCCCCAAATCCAGTCACAGACCGGGCCGACGTTCACCATGTCCGGAATTTGATTGGAATGGCTTTAAAGCTCAGTTGGTGACATACCAGGGAAATAAGCTAAAATTAGAGCGCTCTATTTATTGCTCCTGCCCCATGTTGAAGAGATACCCCTAAAAGCGTGATCTTTTATCGGCCCTTACGCAGCAAGGCAGTAATTCTCAGACCGGTGGATGGTATCAATAGAAAGAGAATGCGTCAAAGATTAACATGAATTAATTAAAATAACATTAAAATGTTAATTAAGCGTGGAAATTAGTCCCAAACATAAGCTAATTATTGCTCCTACCTCGGCGACGGCGCTCCCCGCAGTCGGCGGAGAAGCTAAAATAAAAGCCACCATCCTCCTCCGTAAGTCAATTTTAGAGCGGCCGAGTGGGCCGATGCGGGGCCACCAAACTGAGGTCAAACTGAGGTGAGACGTGGCTAGTAATTGCAAACCGCCATAGAAATCAATATCTTAACCCTCGCCGGCCGAGGGGGGGGGCGGGTGCCGCCCCCCCCATAGGGTTTTTTCGCGATAGCTCCGAACACGCTGGCGATAGAGAGCTGAAACTTGGCATACCTGACCTTTGATCCAAGCCGGATCTTTTGACACCAACCGCATTTTTGGGTCAGGTCAGGTCACTGACCTATGACGTCATAAGTGAACCTCTGCACGGTCTTCAGATGTCGCAACTTCGCAACGCCCTCACTGCCAGAGGAGATGTCACAGGGAAATGAAACTTGCAGGATCTAGTATCCATTATGAGTCCTACAACTTGTATATCTCGGATTTTTCCTAAAGGTCATATGAGGTCAGGTCATTTTCGTGACCTCACCATTATAAGTCAATGGGGAAAAATTCAAACTGCTATTCTGGCGCCGGGAACGATCTCCAACTATCTCAAGCACACAGAATCGTGATTTGATGCACTCCTTGCAAGGTTAGATGCGTCACTTTTGCAATGTTGACCTTGCGTGACGTCATTTATGACGTCATCAAGGTCATATTAGTTTTTCGTCAATAACTCTTGATCAAATTGAACTAGCGAGTCGGGAAAGCCACCAATGGACGCAGGAAGACCTGCCGAATCGAATGATATGCGACATGACCTCTTTCGACCAACTTCGTGACCTGGGGGTGCTGACCTGACCTTGACCTGAGGTCAACACCCCAAATTGACCTGACCCGGACAAAAAGTATATCATTCGACGCGCCTGAGCGAGACGAACACGATGCTGCCAAAATCGGCGCTCTGCGGCCGTTTTTTGCGAAGTTATTCACCAAAAACTGAACCGTACCTTGGGGCACTTGACCTGACCTCAGAGGTCACCGGTTGACCTAGGACCTTAAAATCGGGTACCAATCTCTGCGTCTCGTAACGGCGCACACGCTCGTTTTTTCCGCGACGCGCTAGCTCCACCAGGGGCGAAACGGCGAGGGGGGGTCGTACCCGCCCCCCCCCCTCGGCCGGCGCGTATGTAGAAAACCAATAGGTCCGGCGAGGGTTAAGACGTACAATATGGGATGATTACTCTGAAGCTGGAGTGAAAGCATGAGTAGATTGCAAGAAACGAAATGCATAGATGGGTTGAATTATGTACAATAGGCACAGCTCAGATGAAGCCATTTCTATGATGTTGACATGACATATGACATAACCCTTCCTCTCCTCACCTATGACCTAAGTGCATTGGCAGTTACCGGCATAGTTTTTGAGCACGAGTGTAATTCGCCATCGGACCGCAATACATGTTGCTAGGCTGCTGCAATTACAACGAACATACGAATACTGCCTTCATTTGTAGACGTTTGTCTTTTAGGCGGTCTTTGACGTGCAAGGGGGCATACCTGTCGACAACTTGAGTTTCTCCGAATTTCAAAAACTCCCAGAATTTCAATTCCTTATGCACTGTTGTAGGTACAGCTATGTTCACAAGTTTTCGTTTCCTCCTGTTCTAAAAAGGATGATATTTGTCGATTTCGTGCGTCGCTGATAGGAGGGTGCGTTTAATAATTAGGCCCAACGCTTTCTGCATCCGCGAGTACCTTCAAAAGGGAACAACAGTTTCCATTTATTACACTATGGGACATGTGACAAAATGACCACTGGAACACGCATGAAACGGAGCTCATATTCCTAAAAATGTCTACAATCACTTCTTTTCTGACACTATTAGCAAATACCATCTCAAGTTAGGTGGTTGACAGACAGTCAATGGAGATCTGGGGAGACTGAGTGATGCCAATTCACCACTTAACTGATAATGAGGGCCGAGGGAAGAGAAACATGCAACATGCACAACTGACAACTTGACAAGTGACAAAACACTACCACTATTGCGCAGTGCACAACAAATTACAGCAGCCAGCCCAAAAAATGCTTTTGGTGGCTAATTGCAAAACAAGTCACTAATAAATGTCTTAGTTGCAGCTGAACACTGCACAATAATCACACTGTTCACACATTGAGTGAGATGCCACAGGTGGTTTGAATCACACTTTGGTTCAACTGCAAATCTGAAGTGTTGTCATGAGGTTCATGCCTCCATGATCACAGCACTTTGGTTTTGGTTGGCATAACACTTGTAGTCTGCAGAGTTCCACATGAACTGCAGACACCTCATCTGGTGGTCTTCATGTTGCTCAACTTCTTCAGGAGGCAAATGTCGACCACCCAGCGGAAGCATGGTCCTGCAGAAAAGAAAGGTAATGCATAAGGTACAAACATTATCTGCTGAAACAGCTCCTTCTGTTGGCTGTTATTAAACTTTTAACATAGGTAACATAACAACATGTATTCCATGTATATTACATTTGTTGAAGTAAAATACTGCCGGCTATTTCAAAACCAGAAAATGAAATTATATTGTGGCATAATTCACCTGCTCAGCTATCAGTATCAAATAATAATTAATTTAATATTTGGCATATTCTATATAACACATTCATAGAATATTCTACTTCACGTCACAAGGACTCACAATCTTTCTGTTGGGTGTTTGATTGACGCATTAACTAAGTTTGTCTTAGCTTTTATTATTGCAAAAAATTCATATTGCATTATTGTATCAAAATACTGCCAGCAATAACAAAACAAGAACATGAAATGCCAATGAGCAAGCCGCCTTTCCTTAAAATGGATTACTTTGAAAGGAATTTTAGTTTCTTTTAAGGAAAAGGAGAAATGATTATCAGGTAATTATCAGAAAACCACTCAACCAGCAAGTGGCTGGGTGGTTTCACAGCAAACATCAAGCCAAAACATATACTTACATCTATCTAACAATTGAGCCATTTGACTACTACAAGGATATGTGAGCAAAATAAGAATCCAATTATCCAATGTTGACTTCCTTGCAAAGTTTATGCCTTATTTTATGAAAATGTGTCACTAGAATATGATACTTATCATCGAATATTATTTAATTTACGATTTATTTCGATCGGAATGCACATGGACTCCTGCGCCATTTTCGTCGACGATGAATATGATCGTGTTTCATGAAGAGATAAGGGGTTTCAATGGTCTTTCAAAGCAATAATTTGATGCAAAAATTTGTGGGAAATAATATGAAGCTGGTTCAAATGGCCATCAACCATTTAAAACACCGAAAATACTCACAACTCCGTCCCGACGACCACGCAGCACCGCGCACGCCACACCACTGGCACAATGCCAAAACTGCTGTCACAGCGGAAATGTTTTTTTTTTTCTCGATTGCAATTGTGGAATTATTTATTAAACAGAAGATGATCTTTCCGAAAAACCGACTGATTTCATACACAGATGCATGGAAAATAAAAAATCCCGGTAAGTTTATTTGTATTGTTTTGTCGATTTTGACATGCTCCTAGTTTGCAGCCATATTTCGATATGTTCTACAGGGAGTTCAGAATTATTTCAGGACCAATCTTTTCCTCATTCATTTTCCCGTCGATTATGAAATTTTTAGAGCGGAACAATTGGTTTCCAGGCGGTCCGAGCGGTTTTCGTGAGAAGGGTGCAAAAATCGGCGTCATTTTTAGAGCCTCGACACCAGCTCAACACAGGACCCTATGGGAGACGGTGAAGTAGCGGGAGCAATAAATAGAGCGCTCTAATTTTAGCTTATTTCCCTGGTGTGTCACCGACTGAGCTAGTACTACTGGTATGGTGCAGCATTTAGCACTCATTTAAAAATAATCATAAAAGTATTATCCAAAAAGCTAAAAGAAGCCACCCTAGGCATAGAGAGATCTCTATGTATATGACCCCAGGCACTGGGCGTGATTGTGATGCGTGGAAACTCACGGTCTCCCTCCTCGTCCACCTCGAACTCTTCGACATCTTCCATATCCAAGACGTCAGCCATGATTGGCTTGAAAAGAGCGACTTTTTGGGAAAAGTTTCAACCAAACCACCCCAGCTTACAGCAATTTTTCAAACTTTTCCGATATATTTATTCACAGCGTCGCGACGCCTCATACACATAACACACGGCGCCAGGCACGGCGCACGCGCGTTGAATTTGTCCTATTCAAAGAAGTGACACGAATGACTGCTAGCAGCAAACGCAAGTAACTATAGCTACCTGAGCTCTACAGCTGACCACTATTCCACTGCCAAACGTGCACGCATTCTAAAAAACGGCAACCAGGTACTGAGAAGAAAGCACTTTGTTTTCCTGTATATGATTTGATGAATATTTTGGAATATGGTGACCTCAGGTGACCTTGAAACACAATCTAGACGCTTTCGCTTTGTGCAACTATCCTTTTCCATGTGATTTTTATAACAGTTCGCCAGCTTTGCATATGGTGACCTTACCCGGTGACTTTGAAAACCTCTAAAAGTCAAAGTGACCTTTCTTTCCACCCATTGCAGCCGTTCTTTAGCTCAGCAGCTACCGGGTCGATGAAACATTTTTGAGATTAAACGATTCCACTTCCACCGAATGCGTTTTCATCAGCCGTTTGAATAGCAATTAGACATGGTGAACTGAAGTACTCTGAGTCACCTCGAAATGTCAACTAAACGTTTCCACTTCAAAGCATCCTTATATCGTCCTGATCGAGGCTAAGATTGCGACTAGACCATCCGAAAGTGACCAGTCTGAAAGCCAATGAGCCGGATGTATTGTTCAGAGATCAACTTCGACATACAGCAACGGCATACCCGACAGTCCACGTATCGGTCCATGCATCAGAATAGTCATGGAAGGAACATATAAACATGCTGCTTGGCACAATAACAAATTCGCGCATACAGTCACACTCATGCATAAAGAGGCACATATGGAAATCGCAACATGATTGATTCCCATATTTTCTCTGTACCGCACACATCGGTCACACATTGTGTAGCCCTGCAGTACCACCGATCACATATCACGTCGGGATCTTGTTGTTCTTGATGAGGTCCACGAGCCGCTTGTTGATGTCGGCGCAGACGGCGATGGCCTGGTCGCGGATCGGCTCGTACTCGCCGAGCGCCCGTCGGTCGGCCGCCGTCTCTTGCAGCGCGAAATTGTTCCCCTCGATAGTGGCCAGTTTGCGCTCCAGCTGCGCCAGCGTCGAGAACGTTTCGTCGCTCTGCAACACGCAGCGGGGCGTAAGTACGCGACCGGCGACGTTTTAGTACGATGAGTTTCATCTCGAGTCATACCATCAATAACAGATGCTGCGTTAGGAGAAATCTAAGGCTCTTTGACACTTGAGTATGAAACGTTGGGTTGAATATAAACGTTAAATTCAAACTTATCACTTACATTTAGCTTGGACTGCATCTTCTTGTTCTGGTTTTCAGCCGTTTCGCACTCCGCCCGTGCTTCCTTAGTTTTCTCCGTCAACTGGACATGCTCTTGATGAAGTCCCGCCTGGCGAGCCTGCTCAAACAATATTGGGTATCAGCGGGTATCGTTTTATTTTTACGAGGCAGCGGATACGAGTACGTCTCGGAAAACATCTGATACTATGTGATTTACTGAACAAAAAAAGTAAATTACCTGACACTCCCTCTTAAATCCGTCCAAATCAGCGAACTTTGCGGCATCGTCCTTCATTCGTTTGATGCTGTTTTTCAGCGAGTCCATTTCAGAGTAGACTTGCATTTCGACTTCGTTCAAATGCTGCCATTCTTCACTGTCAGCGAGCCCTTGGTCCCTGTGGACGTGGCCGACGCCGACATTCGCTCAAACCAATGCAAATATATGCAACTCGTGAATACCAAATACGGGACACTGAGGACGTTGGTGACAATCCACAATATGTCTTCAGTATTCATGCCACCGTGACGGTGCGAATGCGAAAATATAACAACAGCCAAGCTGCCGGGTCCAATAAAACAGCCGATACATAAAGTGCGAAGGACGTACTCATAGTCATGAGTTATATAGCATACAATGTAAGCATGAGCCCACATCACAGCTAGAGTAGCTCTATGAATGTTGCATCAGATAGCTACAACAGTCATGGGGAAACATCAATATTTAGTCGCAAAGCTAATATATGTCTGTCTGATTAAGTACTCACGCATTTTGGTCGGTATCGGACTTGAGACCGGTGCTGATGCTCTGAAGCAGTTTGACAATCTCCAGCTCCGTCTGAAGCACCCTCCGTTCCTCGTCCGACTTCGCCTCACTGATCTGATTCATCAGTTTCTCAGTGTCTACCGAGTCCTGTCAGATATAAGAGGAGTACGTCAGTATTTGATCCGTGGTCGGCTTCGGCCCCGTGATCGGACTCAATCTATGGAAAACGAATAAAAATTATTTGCGTGAACAGCACCACATATATGTACTTCGGTCAGGTCCCTCTATATATGTAGGGGAAGAGAGGTCTGACACAACATGCTGATGGTTGGTTGTATGCCGGATATGTTCGAATCGATACTTAAAGTAAACAAGTCAGCAAAAAAAGACCGACACATTAAGTTCATGAGACGATCACGCATAATTCAGGAGCAAAGGTGCGTGCGGGGTATCTTCTGGCCGACCTCCACGGTATCAGGCTTACCTGTCGGGCCTGGGTCGCTGCAGGAGGGGCGTCATCGTCTCCCTCATCTTCATCATCCAGGTCGTCCAGCTCGTCGTTGGCGTTGGAGATGTCCTCGCAAAGAGCAGCCACTTTCCTGTCCATCGTAGCAATGGCGTCGTTGTTCTCCTTGACCTACACACACATACACGGAGGTGCCAGTGATATCAGATGAACCGTGAACTTTATAAACTATAAAGAGAACAAATTTGCTAAAAATGAAATTTAGAAGTAATTTTTTATTTGCAAGAGTTAAAAGCGTCCTGTTAGATTAAGCTTTGTTGAACCAAACAGTACGTACTGTATGTATAAGCGGCTGTGAGCTGTGTATGACTGTTCAGTTCAACGAATCGCCCAGTCGGGCAAGTTCGATTGAATGCGTCTCTGCGGGTTCTGAAATGGGTGACGCGGCGCCATGTGATCGATGGAAGATACGATTTCAGTCTTCATGGACAAACCTCTCTCAGAAGTCTCTCTCGCTCTTCGTCCGGAGTCTCTTGGCGATCTACTTGCTCCTGCAGCTCAGCCTTTTTCGCCTCTAGCTCCTCCAGCTTGTTGTACAAGGAGTAAGCCTCGGCCTTCATCTGCGGTAAACACGTGTTCGTTGGTCGATGATCTCGAAAACTAAGTACTAAAAGATAACCCGAAGATAAATTTTTGGCAGATACGTTTGCACCACATCCATCGCTAGCAACATAAATTATAATTTGGTGATTGATTACTCGGCTACCGGAAAAAATGTTGAGAGATATTTGCATGCGAATGAAATGCAGTAGAAGAAATCGGCTTAATTTATGACTTTACCGAAGAAGCGTTAATGATGTCCATGTTTTTTCTTATTTTCAGATCCTCATCGTCCATGAGCTTCGCAATCTTTTGGATCTCGGCTTCGGCGTTCGCTGTCTTCTTCTTCAATACTGCGAACTTCTCCTTCATTTTCTGAGACATTTCGTTGAACACCTTATCGATGACGGCTTGCTCCTGAGAATGTATTTATCGTTCAGTGGCAGCATGGGCGTCGATACACAACTCATAGTTCATTAGTAGGTAATAGAGCAAGGGGGCTTCGATGGTCAATAAAGTCAGTGCACGTGGGCTGAAAAATAAATATGTGCGAGTGCGATATGTTTATGTGCGAGTTAACACCTTACATAAGTAAGCCTACGTCACTACTTGATGTGACAAACAGTTCACTATTATTTTCACATCATAACCATTTAGGTACATAACCGCATCAGTGCTGAAATGAAAGACACACGAAGTCATCTTCAGATTCATATGAACCAGTAATCGCTATAAGAGAGGGACCACAGTAAAAGCACACCTTCTCTATATCTCTTTCAAGCTGCATCCCTTCATCTTCCTTCTGCTTTCTGGTTAGGTACAGACTGTCAACTTGCTTGCGATTCTTCTCGTTCTTCTCGTTCATTGCTGCCGTCTGTTCATCCACCACCTGTTTTTCCGAGTCCATGTTCATGATTTCCACTAGCGTGTTGTAGTCCGCCAACTCAGCCTGAATGCCTGTTCCGTCAGCAACGAAAAACAGTCAGCGTTTCGAGAAGTAAGAGATCAAAGCTGAAAAGCCAATGTCTCAACTCAACATGGTGAGCAAGAAAAGAACATGACGTAACATGGAGATAACTATAGTGAGAAAGAAAGGGGGAGCGAAAGGGGCAGATAAAACAAGATGAAATAAATGGGTTACTGGTCGGCCTCGGCATCAATAATAGCACTACCAGTCAAACGAAAGGTAATTCTTTAAAATAACATAACAAAGATAACTTGCCGCTCAGTTCGTTGGCCTTTTCCTTGGCGCGTGTGTCGTAGATGACGAAGTTCTCCTGGTCCTGTCCCATTTTGTCACACTCTGCAGCCATACGTCTTATTTCGGTCGTCATCTCCGTGATCTTGGTACGCAGCACTCCCATGAAGTAGGATTTGTCCATAACGGCCCGGTTACGACCTCCAGTGCCACCAGTCTTCAGACCAAGTCCTCCTCGTGTCATCGGTCTGCCTCCTTCTGCCTGATGACGGAAAACACATCGTTTAAAGCATCAACATGGGCAGAACATTGACACAAAATCGCCATAATCGGCACTGTCCCAGCACAAACAGCACAGTCGCTGGCCTTGCTTGGACTGTCATCGACCACCGCTATCTGAGCAAACACGTGAGTGAATAGCATGAATTGCCGCGCCGACTGAATGGCAACGAGAGACATCAATACGAGGATAAACGTCGGTGATAGATACGGTTACTTCGCAGTTCGCAGAGACTAGACAAGACGCAAATAATTCTTGTCTGCCACTTGGTACGATGGTTTGAACTTTTATGTATGTAAAACGGTATGTGTGAATCTAGTTCTTCGCTCATGCACTTTTTAGTGAATGTCAGGTAACGGTTCAGGTTGTTGGTGACCGTCACGCATTACGCACCCCTCCTCCGAAGCCCCCTCCTGCCGCTCGCTGGGCGCCAGTAGCCAGCCGCTGACCGGCGGTGGCCAGCCGACCAGCAGCCGTGCCCTGGCGGGCCTGCGTACTCGGACGCTGCGCCATCTGTCGGTCAAAAACAGCAAAGGTGACGACTCGGGACCAAAGTGCAATACGGGATAACGGTCAACGAAGAGCAATCGTTGTCGATTAAAATC